ATGTCCCTTCTTTAGAGACCTGCTAATGCCCATATGATTGTTATTATGTCCTGATATATAAAGCCATAGAACTCAAAGAGGGTGTACTTTATTTTTCACACAACTGTATATGCTGAATATATACTGTAGTAAGGGAAGCTGGATTGGAAGATAGGTATGGTTTTTAAAGGAGGAAGAAACATCAATAATAAGTGCTATATTGATGACACTACCCTGATAGCTGAAAATGCAAAGGATCTGCAAGCTGTAGTAATAAAAGTCAAGGAGCAAAGTGAAAAAATGGGACTAAAATAAAGTATAAAGAAAACCAAACTAATGACAACAGGTACAACAACCAGCCTTAGAACTGACAATGAAGATAACAAAGTGGTGGATAGCTTCTGCCTTTTAGGATCAACCATCAACGGTAAAGGAACAAGCAGTCAAGAAATATACCACAGACTAGCACTTGGTAGAGCAGCCATGAAGGCCTTGGAAAAGATATTCAAATGCTGTAATGTGTCTATACTGACAAAGATCAGAATTGTGCACACCATGGTATTCCCTGTGATGCTCTATGGAAGCAAAAGTTGGACTTTAAAAAAGCAGGTTAGGAACAGTATTGATGCTTCTGAACTTGGTGTTGGAGAAGACTCCTGAGAATACTGTGGATGGTCAAGAAAACAAACAAATGAATCATCAAACAAATCAACCCAGAGTTCTCACTTGAGGCACAAATGACCAGGCTCAAATTATCCTACTTCAGACACATTATGCGAAGACTTAGCTCTCTGGAGAAGGCTCTAATGCTGGGAAAGGTAGAAGGGAAGAGAAGAAGAGGACAACCAGTGGATGGACTCAGTTACAGTGGCGATGAGTGCACCGTTAGAAGACCTGAAAGACTATATTGTTAGGGCCAGATTGTCATGGAGAAAATCTATCTATATGGTCTCTAGGAACTGACAACAACTTGATGGCTCATCATCATTCAATCTTGCTAATACTCGACACAAATGACTCTAAAAGGCGAAAATGATTTCCACAACCCTATACTACATTTTCCCCACCAATAGCTGTAAGGATAGTGATTATTTTAATCTGACACATCTCCAGGGAATCCCGTTAGGGAATGCTGCAATGTGTAGCTATAACGCAGGCCCTAGAAATTCATGTAAGAAATATGCACCTTAATAAAAAAATATTCTGCATCTTTTCATTATGCATCTTTTCATAAGGGTAAATGTTTTAGGGTTTGAGGGAAATATCCTACAAGACTCTGATTAGCCACAAGATTGGGATAGGTCTTTGTCAT